GTGAAAATCCTCGACTGCGTCAATTCATATGTCTAGCAGTGAGAGGTGGCGAATGTTAACTGCCGTGCTAGGGAATCCCCAAGAGCGCCGGGAGTTCAATGGCCTTATATTTGATAAGCCTTCAAGTGAACTGTGCAAGTGCTGTACTGGTTTCGCAGTGAAGGAGAATATGTTGATGATAGGATATTGAAACTTGGTGCCCACCAGAAAAACTATCTAATTCGTGGACTTATACGCCAAAAGTGTCGATTTCGTGCCCTCATGTATGAATTACTGAGAATTTTCATGTACCATACTCAAGGGCAGGCGTTAATGGAAATCTACTTGATTGCCTGTCACTTCAGTTGTACTGGTGCTGTTGTCCGCGTGGTATATCTTAATCCTCTAACTTGCAGTTTTGATTGCTTAACCGTTATGATCTTGAAAGCGTCGGCCGATATCATTTGCTGATGTAGAGTTGTTTTTCAGATTATACGATGAAATTTCCAAAAAAGCAAGCGTAAGTTTAATAAATAGTGTCAGGCGTTACTGCACGAAAAGTACCAAAATTTCCAATTGATGATCAACACCACCCTCCAAACACAACTTATTCTGCAGTTGAATGTGAGGTTGAAGATCACGATACAGCGGGTCCAATGTCGGATCATCCAGGCTCTGTTTGAGCCGAATCCGAAGATTTCGTACAAGTAACTTGCTCCATCCTAGAAATATAAACAGAAATGTTATTCCATCAACATATGAGAAACTAGTGAATGGACAAGAAAACATCGTTCCGCACCACTTATGCGTGACATAATGCATTATGGTTATCACGACCGAACATTTCTCAACATTCACTCAAAAATGCGAAGTTTTTACTGAAATCAGGCTCGTTTTAAAAAAGTACCATCATAAACTAACAAGAACATTCAAAGAAGCAGTTGCTCAGCATGAAGTCGGCGAGTGCTTTCGAAATCCATTCAAACGGCCGATATCGCGAACAAACCTTTCAAGCATGCGCGAAAATATACAAAAACAATTCCACTCCGACATTTTTCTTTGAATCAATCAATGCAATATTAGACAGGAAATCGACGACAAAAACAAGGACTTACTTTGGAATTAAATTCAAAACTTTGATATCGGGGGAACTGTACTGCTCATCGAGCTCCGAATCTGGCACAACACTAACATCGAAATGGCCAGTGATCAATTCCAGAAATCGCTGCTGGGCGATCGCCGGTTCTCCGATATCGCGTACTTCATAGCAACAAATGATCTTCTCGGTCCTACATCGTTTCAGTACACTGACAAATCCTTCCAGTGCCTAAATCCGAGGATTCAGTGCAACCAGAGATCGATAACATCAAAAAGAAAATTTATGTGACGAAAGATATCTATTTCTTGATTTCATTCACATTTCTAATTTTAATTCAGTTTATTCCGTGCAGAGATGAAAGCAACTCGCACAGAATGTAAGATTCGAACAATTTGTTTCACAAAACTGAAAATTTATGGCTAACTACGCAACAATATTAGTAAGGAATTGGCCCA